TCTTTTTCTTCCCTTCTTTCCTTCTTCTGTTTGGCCAGTTTTATTTCAATAATTTATCATCCATTGACTGGTTTGAAAAATCCTTGTAAACTTTATTTCAATTTACAAGATGAAAATGATCATTAACCTAATGTAATCTTAATTCCTAGTATTGAGCACTATTTTGTAAAAATAAAAATATCTATAAGAACACCGGATTATATATCTTGCTGTTCTTTCTTTATATATATATATATATATATATATATATAAAGAAATATAGGTTTAAAGTGTGGTAAATTTATGGAATAAAGTGCTCAATATATCAGGGATAGAGTGTATGTGAATATAAAAGTGAGTATTGAAGTCATGCTAGGCTTGATTATTGCATCTAGCATGAAACAGGCTGTCGCCTCTGAGTGTTGACTTCAATGTTCACTTCATATATATATATGAACAGACAAAACTGCATTTTTTTTCCCTTAAAGGTAACCTTTTTCGGCCAACACCTCATCAGAAGAATCATTGGCGACTTAGTAAAATGCTAGCATTTTACTAAGTTCAAAACTATTTACAAGTTCTGTGGTACCAGACATTTGTTATAAGGTGTATTTCAGCAGCAAGCATTCTTTCAAACATGTTTGGTTGAATTATATCGACAAGTTCTGTTTATCCAATTTTACATTAACTTTTAAAAATTTATGAATTAGTTGTTTTATATAATTTAATATAATATTTATGTAACTGTTTATGAACTAATTTTAAAATTGGTTCCAGCAGACATGGGAACACTGGAATTAAACAAAAACAGTTATAACAACATGCACAAAACACAATCCTTGAAAATGAATGCAGCAACATTCAGATGTACTCGGGAGGGGGGGGCTTTAAACTTTAGCAAATTTACCGTTTAAAAGAAAAAAAAAAAAAAAAAAAAAACTAATTCCAAAATTTGAAAAAGTAAATAAAAAATTCGATAGACAGAACTATGCACACACACGGTGTCTGCAAAGTTTTTAGACAATTTCAAAAAGTCATTATGAAACACTTAAGTGATGGCAACTAAATTTTTGCTGCATATTAATAATGTTATTATTAAAGTTCTTATAATGATATTAATATTTTTTATTATTATTATGTTTTTATGATTCGGATAGCAATTAATATTGTTTTTATCTCCCAGACATATGACTTTGTGGATGCCTGTATATATAAGACTAGGATGGGGTCTCAGGCCTCGAATGGCAATCTTCCTAGAGATTGTGTCTCAATAAAAACACTCAGTCTACCTGGACTACTGTGTCTGAATTGGGTATCAAGAAGAGCATAACAAATCCTGTGTCAGGTAGGACCCACCTTGCTTTGTGTGAGATTAATCCTGGTCCTACCTCAACAAAAAGACATGGCTATGTATGTATGTATGTATGTATGTATGTAGGGACAATGGGGTGAAAACTGTTAATCTCTGGGGATTGAATAAAGGATTAGTTTGAAAATCCAAGAATGCGACTGAATGTGACAGGCACCTGAAGAAGGCTGGAGAGTGGTTGAAATATTGTGGCTATAGCAACTACGGGGAGAACAAATTTGAATAAATCAGTTTGTATAATAATAATTCCTCATCTGATAAATTCAAACAGAAATCATCATTTATTTTGTATAAGCCTCTCTTCATTCAAATGTTCTATTCAAGTAAATTAGAGAAATATTTCTGCTAGCTTGAAATTAAAATACCCTTGGCAGAAAGAAAGAAAAAAGAATTTCAGTTTCACTGCCGTTAAATGAAGTATGGGTTTATTAACTGATTTAATGGCAATGACATTTTTTAAGTACAGAAAAAAAGGAGTCGTAGAAGGTGAATCATTCAACAGTTTAAGAAGTTCTCATCTACGCATTGAAGTGTCATTAGTATCTGTAATGTTTCATACATTCCCTCAAACACATTAACACTACATTCACAAGATAATTGACAACCTGTAAGTTGGTCAATAGAGCATGAAACTTTCTATATTTCCACAAGAGACATGATTTCATAGAAAAGAATGAACAGAGTAATTTACAAACCCCATTCTAATGCTGGTTCCATTTAAATGATTAATTCCTCCTCTGACAGTTCTCACAACATCCCTATATTCTAAACATGATTCATTCATACTCTGATGGGTCTCTCAACATTTCTATATTATAACCCGGGCTCCATTCAGATGATTCATTCATCCCCCAACAGGTCTGTCAATGTTCTTATATTCTAAACATGATTCATTCATACCTTGATGGGTCTCTCAACATTTCTATATTCTAACTCGGGCTCCATTCAGATGATTCATTCATCCCCCAACAGGTCTCTCAATGTTCTTATATTCTAAACATGATTCATTCATACCTTGATGGGTCTCTCAACATTTCTATATTCTAACTCGGGCTCCATTCAGATGATTCATTCATCCCCCCAACAGGTCTGTCAATTTCTATATTCTTCATTCATATATTCAGATGATTCATTCATCCCCCAACAGGTCTGTCAATGTTCTTATATTCTAAACATGATTCATTCATACCTTGATGGGTCTCTCAACATTTCTATATTCTAACTCGGGCTCCATTCAGATGATTCATTCATCCCCCAACAGGTCTCTCAATGTTCTTATATTCTAAACATGATTCATTCATACCTTGATGGGTCTCTCAACATTTCTATATTCTAACGTTGATTCTATTCAGAAGATGCATTTATCCTTCATTCAACTTTAAAAGAATATGATTCACCAGTTTAAGAAGCACAAATTTATTTGCTCTAAACATGTACCATCCTGATTTAATTCAAGTATTCAATGTAATATACACCACCACATTGTGGCAGTGATTAATTCATTTTTCTTCACTTTTGTAGCATTAGATTATTAAAAAAAAAAAAAAAAAAAAGAAAATTGAAGAAACAATAAAAGAGGAAAGGACATTGAGAACAGCAGTATCACTCATAATTTCTTTCTTTCAGGACAGTTTTGGTTCACTTCCCATTTACCAAACTTTTTTTTTTTTAAACAAACAAAAACTGTTGATATTTTTTTTTTTTTTGAGAAATGACCACAGGAAAAGGAATTTGGAATACAATTTCACCTCCTTTTACATATTCGCCTTTTTTCCTCACCCTCAATTCTAAACTTACAAAAATCAAAAAAATAAAAGAAGAAAAAAAAGAAGTTTTTGCAAATAGTTTTCATTATTATTATTATTTTTCTTTTCATGATATTCTTTGATTACATAAGCACACTCAAGGCTCTCAGATATTTTAGTGAAAAAAAAAAATTCAAAGGAAATAGGTGATTTTGTCATGTACTTTTTTTTACTCCATAACTATGCAATTGAATTTGTCTACCAAAGAATCTTTTAATATTTACAAAAAAATAAAAAAAAATTCCTTCCTTCTCATTTACAATATTGTTGAAATATTGCCAATTATAAAAAACCATTTAAACTAAAAATGAAAGCTGTATTTTTTTCTTAATCTTTTATAATAAAAACAATCAACTTGGAATTTCTGTGCTGAGCACATTCACTTATTCAATTCTTTTTCATTTTCTCTCATCCAAAAAAGAAGTATTTCTTCTTCAGATTTCTTTTGAATAGAAAAGAAAGACAAAATTCCTGAGTTCTTTCTTCTAAATCTTCAATTTTAAAGAAGCAGTTCTTCTTTTTCAGCAATTCTTTATTTCTCTCTTCATGTTTGGCAAAAAAAGAGGAAAATGACATGACAATGCCAAATTTGCAGATGAAAAACTTTGGAAGAAAAATTCTTGGTCTACATCATTCAATTAACAATACTATAATGTTTCTGTCTTAAATTTTGTTGTGTCCATACCTGTGGAATTTACATTATATATACATATAGTGTGTGTGTGTGTGTGTGTGTGTGTGTGTGTGTGTGTGTGTGTGTGTGTTCATGTATGCATATATGGTAGTTTTTAAATTATACAATAAAAGTCCTAAAACTTGATGCACATAAAACCTTATTAATTTTTACTTTCATTCTCTTAGGATTCCTACATTCAAATAAAATGCAGAATTTTTTTTATATTGAAGATAGCAGATATGCTGGTTGTGACAGTAATTTGTTTTTTCATTCTCTTCCTTGTTTTTTTTTTTTTTTTATATAATTATTCTCATGCCCATTCATGCATAAAAATCACACTTAGTAAAGAAAAAAATTTTTCCCTAAAGTGTGCAGAAAATTGAACCGGTTTAATGAATTTCTTCCGTTTTATTTATTTTGTTTTTTTCTTTTTCAATTTACATTTTTCTTCAAAAATAAAAATGAAGGCGAGGGAATAAGTTTTATTTTTTTTAAATTCATGGTTATATTTTCTAATTCTTCACGTTCTCTCTCTCTCTCTCTCTCTCTCTCTCTCTCTCTCTCTCTCTCCCTCAATAATTCAACCATTTACATGCTGAAAAAATATTTTTTTTTAAAAGATGAAGGTTTTTGCAAATTTTATGAAGAAAATCAGGTTTCATACACTTCACAATTCCTCATTCATTTTTTTCATTTTTATCTTCCTTTAGTGATTTTATGTCATGTTGTTTACTGAATTTAAAAAAAAAAAAAAGAAAAAATGAAAATTAATGTTTTTACTGCTACTGATTGATTTTTTGTTTCTTTTTTCATATCTTTTCCCCATGAAAATAAAATGTCTCAATAAGTGTGACTGAAAAACGGCCAGATAAATGTCAAACCCAGATTAAAACAGGTTAAGGGGACAATTATGAATCTGATGATATGGGTGATAGGGGAGGGGGTGAGCCAGTTCATCTGGGTTGGTCTATTACTTTTTGTTTGTATTTAGTTTTGTTTTTGGCGGCATTTTTATAAATTTTTTTTTACTTTTTTTCTTCTTTTTTTTTTTTTTTCAAAAATGATAAAAAAAAAAATTAAAAAACAAAGTAGTTGGTTGAGGGGTGGGAGAGATTGCTATGAATGTTCAATCAAAGATTAAGGTGTGCACCAACTCAATTCTTGACTGTCTTCATCTTCCACGTTGCTTGTTGATTTGTTCAACCCGAAACCGCAAATATTTCAGGTAATCCATCAGCATTCCTCCCATAGCTGTGTCAACTAATTTATGAGGCAACATCCCCTGTTTAAAAAAATAAATAAATAATGGTTTATTAGCTGCATTCGGGTTGGAGATTGAATGCTAAATCGTTTGTAAATATAATGTCAATCCTCATTTTGTCAATTAGGCATTAAAGTAAATGTCAGAATAAGCCTGGGCAAATCTTTTTTCATGAACTGAAAAGTAAAGTGGGTTACATCAAAATAAAGCAAATTTCATAACAATATAAGAAACAATCATATATGCACAGGTTAATTTTTTTAATCATTTCACCACAAACAAGGCAATGAAGCCACTAAGATGCAAGAATATTACTGAATGAGAGAGAACAATAAAAGAACAGGAATTAAGAAGACGGAAGATAACGACTGACATTGCATTTAAATGTCTGAAAATCAAAGTTGATTAGATGAGACTTCCACAAGCAAAAAGTGCAAGGGAAGGAACTGTTAGCATAGAACTTCGTTACATCTAGCCATTTCAATGGTATAATGATGAGACCTTGCTGCAAATCTAGCACTGCACTTAGATTTGCAAAGTCTATGCATCATAGAGGGTAAGTTCATCAGAACAATTACCATGAAAGTATTTTTTAGAAAAGGCAAAGGGAGGTTATGTTACAGTGATGAGAAAATGACTGAAGCCGAGATGCTAGGTCAGGACCAATAACATTGCAGATTCTTTGTATTTTATCAAGAATCTCTAAATATATAGCAGAAGCACTAGACCAGATGTGGCAGCAATATTCAATGCCTGGATGAATGGTAGACTTATAAATATGTAAGATAGATTCTAGGAAGAAAAACTGTCTAGCACAACACAGTGAAACAACTTTTCTAGCAGCAGACCTAGCCATTGATTCAATATAATCTTTCGATTTCATGTCAGCAGAAAACAACTCAAGAAGACACGATGAGTCACTCTCCTAGAGGTTAGCATCGGCCATGCTGATGGAAAGTAAAAAGGGTTGTTTCAGATGATTAAAAGAGTGCAGTTTCATTTTGGAGACATTAAAATTAACAAGCAATTCCTTGCCCCATTTAACAACAGACTGTAGGTCATTTTTGAGATTAGATGCCAATTTTATCTTATCAAGACCACTTATTAAGACAGGAGTAAATAGTTGTGTCATCAGTAAAAATACAGAGTTGAGAACTGATGACATCAGAAAGGTTGTTGATGAAAATTAGGAACAACATAGATTCAACGATACAGGGGAACACCTGCATTAATGCAAAAAGATCTAAAAGAGTGGCCATTCAAGACAACTTTCATTTCATGATTTGATAAAAAAAAAATGAATCAGTTCAAAAATTTGTCTAGAAATACCATAACCTTTCAACTTGTGAAGAAGACCAGCATGCCAAACCTTGTCAAATGCCTTTGAGATATGTAAAGCAATAACCTGAGCATCATCATTCTTATCTAAAGCTTGATAGACTCTTTCAGTTAATACGTTATATAATGTTAATCGTTAATACATCAGCAGTTGACCTAGAGAAGTGAAAGCAGTATTGCTTATCTGAAAGAAGATGCTGCGAGGTGAGATGCTTAATCCATTCAGATTTGTACAGTTATTTGCTTAATGGATCTGTTGGGAACAGACTGCACAAATGGATAAAAGATTAGTTCAATATTTAATACATTTATTACTTTTAATAAGATTTGTACAGCTGAGAATAATCTTTTTACAATAATAAGAAATTCTTGATAAATCTTGTGAGATGTTTGTAGCAAAGTAAAAAAATGACGTCATATTTTGGAGCACACACAGGTATCTCAGTCCCTACATCACTTTACACTGTACAGATGATTAGACAATGGCACAACGTGGAATGTAGCAGTCTAGATGATTGTATTAGTACATATAGATTTTATAGAAAGTTTCCTGAGAACTGGTGTTCACTATTAAATATATATGGTTCCTGTTTTGAATAGGTTACTATTTTGTGCAACATATAACAAAACCAGGGCACTATGACATGGTGTAATGGTTAGCAAACTTGTCTTGCTAGATTAATTACAAGTAGTGATTTCTATCCTTACTGGGTACTCTATATTTTTTGGTGTTGTGCCATACCTAAGCCATGCTTAGTAAATCACTGTAACAAAATTATGACCATTAAGTAAGCAGCATAATAAAAATGATTCAAAGAAATTCAGAAAAACTGATATACCTACTACCACTTGATTAAAACCAGGTTCTAGATTAATTTTTTTCATCATCACCCCCAGAACTGTCCCAAAATACAATTTTAATCATTCAAAAAAATTTCAAACCGTCCCAAAATCAAAATGTTATTTTTTTTTCAAGTTCATTATTATTTATAGCTGTTAAGAGCACAAAAAAAAAAACCACTATTTAAATGTTTAGGATTTAAATAAAAAAAAAGGAGCTCAAATATTAAAGTTTTAAAAATGGATAAATATAAAAATGAATTTGTTCATTTTTACTATAAAAACTATAGTAATAGAATAATAATTACTGTAATAACATACAATAACACAACAAAAATTGCAACCTGATTTTTATTTAAACATTTCTGTTAAATTTTCCTTTTACAAGAAAATGTTCTTATTAAATTCCATGTTCAGTGTAACTTTTATCCTGCATTCATTTTCTATATAAAGAATGCAAGCACATTAAAATATTAACAATCAAAAATGTTTTTAGTCTTTATCAAAATATTTATAATTACCTGCCTTGTGACTAAATTTACTGTTTATCAATTTTTAAACTGTCCCTTGTATTTTTAATTTACTTTATCATAATCAGTAAACATAATGTATAAATATTATTTGATAATTGATTCATTCAGTTTTTAAACCAAAAACTGACAGAAAAAAATACAATTTTCTTCTTTTGTTTATTAAAGCAAAATTAATTTAAACATTTAGATCCTAATGTTTTTCACATTTAAAGTTAATACAAACCATATAAACTAATCCCTTCAACTTTTATTTGGGCTCCATTCACCAGTTTAAAAAGAAGCACTTAAGTTTCGTTTATTTATTTAGGGAATGTGTGTGCATGCTCCATTTATTAAAAACTCACCATGACTGTTGAGAAGAAATTAGTTGCTTTTAGAAGTAATGGAGAATCAGGTCAACCTGACAAGAAACCCAGAGTTGATTGCATATGGTGCAGTAAGCAGTAGGAGTTATGTCCTCTTCCACAATTGGTTGTTGAGCGAGGACATTCTATTTAGAATAGGTGGTGCTGACAAAATTTGCATACAAATGATACTGGGCAAGTATTAGCCAATAGTTAATGTGGGTCTAGGTCTGAGAGAGCAATATAACACCAACTTTTTCTCAGTCAGGGAGAAGTGCTCTCGACGTGTGGAAAACCAAACAAGACGAACACAGAACTATAGTAGAAATAAAGTTTAATTACAAATATTGTATTGTCCTGGTATCATCCCAAACATTTTAATCCCAAACTAACATTTTATTATCTCTAAAATAACAGGATAGTGTTAATTTTGAGCCCTAATGTAAAAATACAACATGAAGAAAAAAATGGATAAACAAAAGTATATGTAGCTATATAACTTAATTTTAATGTTATTTACATGACCAAATTCATAAGGTGATATTCATGTTAGACAGGCTACCAAAGATATGAGATATGTCAGAGGTAAGCATTGTTTTAGGACATTTTCCAAATTTATAACCCTATTTTATGAAAATGCCAACTTTAGTATTTCCAGCTGAAGCCAGTGGTCAAAGTTTGAGATCAAGATGATAAATGCCAATTCTCAAGGCTGTAAATACCATTTAGAATAAGGATGCAACATGTGGCTCTGTAAGAGACTTGGCTAAATTTAGGAAATCTCTATAAGAACTACATTAGATTGAATCGGTTACGGTACAAAAAATACCAAAAAGACGAGTTATCTCCCTTGTATAACATGTATTTTCACGAGTGGGTTGTCAATTAAAATATCATCATTAACTAGCAAAATAGATTTTAGTAATTGCTGGCAGAACATAGCTATTCTGTGCATATTAACAATAAATTTACTAATATAAAATAAATAAAACAAAATGAATAAAAAAAAATGTTTGCTTTTCACAGCCAGCTATCTTTATGAGTGTGAATTCTTAATTATTGTATATTCAAAAACCCAAGGTGCAGAAATTGCTTTTCAACTATAAATCTCTGTTTAAAAGACTCAGTTCCCTTTTCTATAGAGTCGAGGATTAATAAGCTTATGACAAAAAAAGAAAAGTCTTAAATTTCACATTATTTTTTATCTTTTTTATCTTAATAAACTTTGGTAAAAAAAGAGCCTAGTTATAATATTGATAAAAAAAAGGCAACAGGTTGAAAAACACTTGACACAATGTACATATTTTTCTAGTCAGTTCATCCCAACCAAAGCAATAATGTCACTAAGAAGCTACCAGGAGTGAACTAGAAGGAAAATACTTTAAAAGAAACTGGAAACCCAATCCAAAAGAGGAAACAAGGAATAAACCACTACTTCTGTTCAAAAGACTGGGGAGGAGGGTGAACCAGATGATAGGTGAAACTATCTACACTTATTAAATTCATTCCTAATAAAATACAAATCTAGTGATTACATGTTGGTTCCAATCCCGAATAAGAATGACTACAAAACACTTTCTCCTCCCAAATTTATAGGTAGAAGCACACAAATGCATGCTGGGATATTTTCTAGCCGAAAAAATAGGCCACTTGTCGGTTTCATCTGATTCAGTCCCAGTCTGTGTTGTCTTGAAGTCAGAACATTACTTTCACTTATTTGAATTTGCTCTTATGTGTCAACCCCAATTCTTATTAGGTTGGTGCAAAAATAATGACGTAATAATGTCGTTTTTTGACCTATTTTTTAACGTAAAAAACGACATTCTTACGTCATTATTTTTGCACCAACCTAATAGTTTGTGAACTTTTTACCATATTACTGTTAATTTGCTTTGCATATATTATTTGCTTGCTATATATTATTTTTGCCCTATTCTTTTTTTCTTCTTCTTATTATTGTTTATTGCAAACTTTGTCAATTTTGTTTGTTGGGCAGTTCTGCCATTTATTTACATTTAACAATGGCCACTCACTCTACAGTACCAAATCAAAACCACATCATTTGTAGACTTTCAACAGCAGCAACAACTAAAATGGGTATCACATGTAACTTGAAGAGAAACTAATAACCTAATCAAGATGTTGATATACCACACTACTACAAACAAAAGGTTAGAAAAGAAGCCATCATCATTACTAGAAAGAGCAATAACAGCTACTGGACTTGAGAAACCTATTTTCTATTAATATTGAAAAATTGTTACAAGAAAAAAATAATAGTAGTACAAGCTTCTCAGTCAATCTTGAGATATATAACAGGAACTGCATGTTATCTTTCCTCAAAGTATGGCTATCAGCTTCATACTTTGGTCTTTTTTTAGCATGATATAAGTATTAAATGATCAAGTTTATAAATCCATATTCACTGTATCTGTTCACACACAAAATATTCAATAGAAATGTTGGCATCTGCTTACTGCTTATATATGTTTTTAGTATTTGCTGTATTCTTTAAGTCAGAATGCTGTGTTCATATATCTGAATTTGCTCGAGTGTCAACCCCAATTCTTAGTTTGGGAACTTTTTACCATATTACTGTCGCTTTGCCTTATTATTTTTAATTTGGCTTGCATATTTTCTTGTAATTACTTATTGCAAACTTTGTCAATTCTGTTTGCTGGGCAGTTCTGTCATTTATTTATATTTAACCATCGCCACTCACTGTACAGTACATCAAAACAAAGTGAACATGTTTTGTTGCGTCAAGATTTTGAAAAAGTATTGTAACTAGTATTGTTGTCTTTTCTTCTAGAAAAATGAACTTGCTGCATCACATATGGCAAAAAGAGACAAGGAGAGAGAAAAACCCAAGACTTACCTTAAGATTTGTATTGCAATACCAAGTGAATTCACATTTATTTGATTCTCCTGGAAGAGGAGCAAGCAGTACGCCACCGGGGCCATTTTCTCCTCTAAAAGAAGAACGAAAGAAAGAAAGTCATATTTATTCAATTCTCCTGGAACAGAAACATTTTCTCCTACATATTCTGTATCACTTTGGAAAGTTGTATATTTCTTAACAATGCAAGTGGTTGTTGTTTCAGCAAAGATGAAAACTAAGATTTTAAATGCTGATTTTTCAAGGTAAATCTTTCTGTAATAAAAGCTGATAGTAGTCTTCAGTTTATCTATTATAATGATTGTAGGATTAAGTCAGGGAAGTGAATGAAGGGATAACTAAATAACAAGGTTTCTTTATTTTCCAGCGGCCAACTACTTCTAGTTGCATGAAAAGATGAGGAAGAAGGTCCTTTATACAAATGCTCTCTGAATATTTTACTGATTCCATATATTTGTTTCTTGCCCAAATTCACACTGGTATCTAGTGATGTGCACTATTACCTTTTAATCACATCATGCTACTGCACAGGGGACACTTCCTTTGATCATGCCATCCATAGCCCTCTTTGTTCACAGCTTGCTGCTGAATATAATACATGTCCAGAACTGGAAGATTAGTGTAACACAATGTTATTAACCATAAGCTAAGCTTAGAGATTTTAAATGCAGAATTTCAAGTTAGACAAGCTCCCCACCAACCCCCTCCCACTGGAAGATCAGCATAATGCAATATTCTTAATTTTTTCCATCCAAGCTAAAATTAAATACCAAAACCAGGATTTCAAATGCTGATTTTCTAGGCAGGCAGGATCTTTGCCAACTTGGAAGACTGGCACAACACAATGTTCTTTTTCATTAAGCATTAAGTTTATTAAATATTGAAATATTTCCAAGTATTGGCACAAAAGAATCTTCCTACCTTAATTTTTGTTTTGTGTCGTATTATATTATTCTTAGTAAACATCAAATATATGCTTTGATATTTATTATTTGGATTGCAATATATTTTCAACACTTGAACCACTTTTCCTTTTTGTAATCATTATCAAAACCTTAGGATACATGCTGTGACTCCATGGTATCAAAACACAACTAATGACTGCTTCTCTTGCCTAGGGGCAACAAAACAGAGTCAGAGTCATAGATATTCAAATGTCTTTAAGCCTATTATGACCTTCAACAATATTTTCTGGAGTGATTTGTTGATATTGTTTCCCTACCTTACATGTTTCTTCACTGGTGGCATTCCTGGGTAGGTGATGCTTACTCCAACTGACATGTAAATCCCTCGTCGATTACCCCATCTCCGAACGACAACAAAATCCCGACTCTTCACCAGACCTTTGGCGCCCGCAGCAGCAACATAATAAGAGATATCACACGTGTCTGTCAGGGGATGGATTGTCTGGAAAAAAAAGAAAAGAAAATAGAGATAATAATCATCTGAGGACCAAATCAGTCAAATCAAAAAGAAGAATTGTTGCTTTTTCTTCAATCCAATAAATGATTTCTTTTTTTCTGCCCTTAGGACACACCTAAGAAAAGGTTTCTGATTGACTTTGATCAATAAATTTTTGGGGGCAAAATGATGAATTTTAATTCACTAGAATTTTTTTGCAACATGCTGACATGTATTCAGCTTCTCACAATATTTAGTATTAAAGAAGCCCTTGAGATTTATAAACCCTATGTTTCATTCAATTTCATAAACAAATCAATAAAATTTGAATAAGCTGACTTGTTTGGAAAAATATTTGAAAAACCTTACTTTGTGGTTTAATAATTTCTTTAATTTAATTTAGTTTTATAGGACTTCATGGTAAACAATAATTCTTTTTTAACAGTGGAGAATACATTCCTAGGATTTCTTACTCTTGAGCATGGAGCATGCAACATACAACTGGCCATGCATAAATATTTCTTTCTGGAGCCAAATTCCAACTTTTTGAAGCATTTGGCCTTGTGATTTGTTTGTATGACTTCCACATTACTTCAAACAAAAGGTTAGGAAGGAAACCCCCATCAATACTGAAAAGAACAACAGTGGATTTGAGAAACTTATTTTCTTGAAAAATTGTTTCAAGAGAAAGATTTTAGAAATTTCAACTGGCAGCGGTATTCGCTGTTCGGTCAATGAATGCCAAATATTTCCTTATAAGGAGATTGCTAATACAAGGTGTCGCAAATATACTTCACATAATGGTAAGACATTAGTAGCAATGGTGTCTTCATCTAGATAATATCTTATCAGGATGTAGGAGGTATTTCTTCTGCACACTGTTTTACCATTGTAATGCATTTATGAACAGATACTCTCCTATGGAGTTACTCAGCAATGAGACACCAATGAATGAGTTTGGGTACTTTGTGACTGATTTATATTCTATGGCAATATGCTTGTCCATTCTTTACACCAGATGCAGTCATTCGGTGGTTTTAACAATACATTAGAAGGTAAAGTATTATGGGCACTGTAACCAGAAATAATCAATTTTTCAATATTACTACAGATTAAGCAATCTAGATTATGAATATCAATTTTTTCTTTTATTAAATTTTATGGAATAGGGGAGTTCAGTTTGCTATATAAATTCATTTTAAAATGATCCCTCCCTACAGAAGCCAAAACAAAATATGTTCATACCATGTGATTCATTAAAATGTTTTAAAAAATTTTTAAATGGTTTTTCATATATTAATATCAATTAAATGCCCCAAATCATTTTTCTAATTTTAAGAAATCATGTGGTTATGAGCCTATTTTGTTTCTATTTTCATAGGGGAGATCAATTTATAATGAATTTACATAGCAAACTGGGCCCTTACCTATTAACAAAATAACAAAAAAACTTTTCTTTTTTGAATTTAAAAAAAATCACATGGTTGTGAGTGTTAACCATACTGGCACTTGTGGGATTGAACTCACCATTCTTGGCTAACAAATTTCTGAAGATATTAGACGCCTACTGCTCAGATTAATGGACATGTTCTAAGTAGTGGCAGTAGCTTGTCTCCCTTTCTGCCAAAGTGGATTTAACTGTTATTCATTATTTAAGTTTATAGAAATTTCTGTGAATATTTTTCTATTGTTTGGTGAAGTGCCGTCATTCAGTTTATTCAGCAAAATCTTGTTTTAACAAAGAGCATATTATTTTTTCTATTTTTATAGGCAGGGGGCCAATTTACACTGAATTTATGCAGCAAAGTGGACCCTTCCCTATTAACTTAAAAGAAAAGAAAAAAAAAATTTTTATATTTATAGTAATATGAAAAAAAAATCCCCAAATCTAGTTGCATTGCCTATTGCACAACTTTACCAACATTGTTTCACGCAGGTCTTTCAGGTTTCGCTACAGCGCAGATCTGGCTGCATATGATTTCTAACCTTTCCTAAAGTTAAAGATTGTTGTTTAAAGCAAGTAGAGTTCTTAACTTAGATATTAATAATGTCAATTCTTTTCCCAGTTTTAACTTGAGGATTGCTTGGCTGGATGGATATCTATCCCACTTATATCAATAAAACCATAACCTCATGATGAATAGAGTATTTATTTTACACAATACATTTTTCAACATAAACCCCTTCCTTGTCAATGTACTTAATTGAATATTAATCACATCAAAATATTGATCAGTGAAAATTTCAGATCAAATTATCAATTAATAACCACATTAGGTTTTGAATTTGTTGATCCACCCAAACATATTTATATTTAATACAGAGTTTATATATAAAAAGCCATTATATAGAACTTTTCATTTTTAAGACAGATTGTATTTGCCAGCATCAAGAACATAGTTTTGTTTCATCTGTCTATATTTCTGAGATGAGGCATTGTAACTATTTACACTGTTCAGATTGCTGTCCTTATCTTTATAGTCATATTCACAACGTTTCAGCCGTTGTATGCTCTGGCGTTCTTCAGGTGATATTTGTTGGAATTTTGAATTGAACCCTTTCTATAGTCCAAGGAAACATGGCCTAGTGGATAAAGCATTGGTTGAAGTAATCCAATGACTTGACCCAAAGAGTTGTTGCCACAGCAGAAATAAACAAAAGCTTGGAGGGTTGAATTACTAAAGGGAAATAAATGAAACTGAGACATCCAGAAAAGGCATGGCATGTAGAACTAGAACAATCTACCCCAGTGGACTAAATAAAGGGTAAGTTTAATTAGTATCACCTTAAGCAAGGCAGTACAGCCACTAGCATGCAAGGGGTTACAAGGTGTGGATTACGAACAGAAACATTAGTGATGAGGAGAAAGAAAAGAGCAATAAGGAGGATAGTAGATAGTGATTGACATTGCATTTAAATTTTTGCAGATTAAAGTTGGTTGGAAAGCATGGAACTGGGAGGGAGTTCCACAAGCTAAAAGTGTGGGATAAGAAACTGTTATGGCTACATCTAACTTGCTTAACTGTAAATTGATGAGATCTTGCTGCCAGTCTAGTATTGCACTGTTATGATGTTGATTTGGGGTTAGTAGAGACAAACGCCAAATAACACATAACAATAAAAAGGGTTTTAATAGGTTGGTAAAAAGGTACAGAAATCGCCTGAGTAGTCAATAACTAGCTCAGCTAAGAACTTCTCTGTCTATCTGTCTCCCCCATGTCAACTGACATGCCACTATTTAAAGTCTTTGTTCACAGACAAGTTCATCTTCAAGAGGGGTGGTAGGTTTCCGACACAACAAGCACAACATACAGGAATTCAGTTTACCATCTGACAAAGATAAACTTTGTCTGGGGTTAGCATAGGCTTATGAAAACTCTAACATTTGTATGGCAAAGTTTCAAGACTTATTTCAGGATAAAAACTGTCTGTAATGCTAGCAAATATGGTAAATAAAAAAAAAAAAATCCAAATGATTTTGATTCTGGCTTAATAGTTTTTTGATTATTTTGCAATCATTTCACCTCAAGCAAGGCAATAAAGCCACTAAGATGCAAGAGGTTACTGAGTTTGAGAGGATATAAGAAAAAGAAAAACATTATTAAGTAAAGAAAACAGTAAAAGAACAGGAATTAAGAAAACAAAAATGACGATTGACATTGCATTTAATTTTTTGAGGATCAAAGTCAACTGGAAAGCAAAAGAGGAAAAGTGTATCACAAATACAAAACCAGAAAAAAAGAAATTTGATAATTTTAAACAAGAAATAAAAACAAAAGGAATAGATATATATATACCCTGCTTTCTAACACTGTAGGGTTCCACTTGGGCATTTCCGGAGCTTTGAATACCAATTCCTCCCACAATTCATGTGGATTTATATCCAAATAAGCCTGTATAAAAAAGAACAAATAGATAAATAAATAAATATCATTCATTTGTTGTATAATCCATTGATCCTTGCACAATTCTTGTTCAATATACATTGTTACAGCTGGCGCAACACAAAATAAGAAGAACCAGATTCGTAGAAATTAAGGTTCAAGAAAAGAGATTACATCTAATAATGAAATGCGGATTTTATTTTACATATAATACAATATATTTTTGAACAATAGGGATGAGGTTTAAACTATATAAGTTAGGAAATGCTAACAAGTTATTAAGTGTGCAAGAGCCTAGAAAGGAGTTGGCTTAATGTGTAAACTATAGAAGGGAGTGGAAGAGGAAAACCATTGTAGTTAAGATTGGATGGGAATTCGTCACTAGTCAAAGAATTATATCATTTTCTTCTTAAAAATAGTTTGATATTGACATATATATAAAATAAAAAAGTTTGGTCAATAATATCAAGGAAAAAAGGTGAAGTATTTACCAATAGTCTTTTCTTTTTGAGAACTGTCGGAACTTAGATTCTTTCAGTTGAAACTTTGTTCTTGAATCAAAAGGACCGAAGTCGACCTCAATAGTTGTGGCTGTGGGTTCAGGAGGCAACTGGTTAGTTGGTACGAACTCCTGTTTATATATGTTTTTTTGTATCCTCTAGAACCCAGTAGAAGTTTCTAGAGACTTCTAGAAAGTTCCATTCTATTATTACGAAATCTAAAGGGTTTGATGAATGGGGGCTTTTCATATGGTAAGAAAGGCATCTAATAGCTACAGATTTAAGTCATCATATTAAGTTAGATTTTGTATTTTATAGTATAAGTGTAAAGAAGTAGGACAAAATGGGGCCTCATAACAACATATGTAATTTTATAAATTTTTGGCCATTATATATATATCGCACAAAAATTAAAAACAATGACATATGTCTAGAAAACCAGAAGTCAAAATGGTGACAATTGAAAGAAAAGAGAAAAAAGGTTAAGGAGTGAGTGTAAAGCGGAAAAAAAAAAAACAAAAAAAAAACAACAACATAAAGGACAAATAATCAGGACATTCTACACATATATACAGACATGCAAACCTATGCACACACATATACATACATACACTATTGGAAAATTGATTATATATATATATATATATATATATATATATATATATATATATAAGTAAATAAAACACACACACACAGAGTAATTGAAGAACAAAATGGGAAAACACCTTAGTGGCATGCAGAGAAATTATCAAGAGGAAACTACTGATATTTATCCCTAGTGCATATTTCAGACTTGTATAAAAAGTACATACCTGCAAGAGGAATATTTTGTAGCCTCCGTTGGACTTCTTGCCTCGTACACAGCCATCAATGGGATTTGTGCCACACTCAATTTTCCAGTCTTTTTCAGTGCCATACCAAGAATAAACCAGATCCCAAGTTTCTTTGGCTTGCCTTAAACACTCCCGGTCTAACTGGAATTCAAAATAAGACAAGAAATGGTCAATGAAAAAGAAAGTAAGGTGAGCAATTGGCCAATAATCAAAGAAAGAGGAATCCATTAAAAGATGGTCTGCTAAAAGATAAAGAACTGTCCATTTGAATTTGGTTAGTTAAAAGATGAGGAGAACCATTCTAAAAAGATATTCAATTAAAAGATGATGAAGAATTGCTCTGCTAAAAGATAAAGAATGGTCCATTTGTATTTGGTTAGTTAAAAGATGAATAGGAATCTGTAAGTTAAAAATATATACATGATCTATATTGGTCATTGGTTAGTTATATTCTCATTCTTTTTTAAAACCTTTGTGCTTTATTTTTCATAATTAGTTTGCTAGTATAGAAAAAAAAAGTAAGGATGACAATATTTAAGTAATTTTACAATTGTCTTTTCCTCAAGAGTAATTTAGGATTTTTATCCATAAAACTCATTCTGGTATTGCAATTAAGAGAAGATTCTGTTTTTTTATAATCATTAAAAATATCAAAAGAAAGCTAACATGAAATAAACAAAAATGTATTAGCAGCCTGATCCTCCTTATCTACTAACAGGATCTTCTATTGTGTAATTTCTTCTTTTATGATATGTCAATACTAAACAAAAAGTGTGTGTTCTGCATGACTGAGAAATATATAAAGTTATATTGTATTTTATGATAGAATAGATTTAATGAAATGATATATTGTACATCTCTAGGTGATATTTTTCCTGATCTTAGATATTCAGAAAACTCTCTCTTTCTCTCTCTCTCTCTCAGATTGATTTGCTTGTTATGGATCACAATGAATGAAAATAGGTGGAAGAAATGATTTACAATTTTGACATGAGCTACCTATTCATTCAATGAAAGCCTTACTATCTTGAAAAAATACTAAATTATCACAAAAAATACTAAATTATCACAAAAAAATCCTATCAAAATTATTCAATCAATACAAATGTTTAAATTGAACAAAATTTGTTTGGATGTACTCTTGTTGCATAAATATGAGTTAAAGATTAAATGCAGAACAAATATGGATTGGAACTCAACAGGATGATAACATAAAGAACAACTAGGAAACATTTATCTAACATGTTTCATTTTTTTTAAAGCTTCATCAGAGATTGAGATTAGACAGACAAAAAGACAGAACATTGGTATTTTCACTTTTGTTTCTCATTGATAGACTAGCAGTAGAGCCCGGCGTTGCCCGGGGATGTAACAGTAAGAGATAGATCAAGTATCGACCATCATAAAGACTGAAAAATAAAATTGACAAAGATTATTGTTTAAGGTTGACGGACACGCATGTCTTAATTAGTTTTTTTTTTTCTTTTTTTTTTTACGAATTGGTCAAACCCAAATTCAAACAAAAACATTGTTTACAATCGTTATGAGTCTATCGATTGGTGAATAGAATTTTATTATAAACAATTGTCTTGTAAATGGAATTTTTAAAGCATTCTGAATGTAAACAAAGAAAAAAAGTGTGCAAGACAATAAGAAATACTACCTGCCAAAAAAAAAAGTGGATGTTTGTTTTATCGGCTGAAAAATGTAAGAAATCCGATCCCATATATAAAGGAACACACACACACACACACACACACACATAAACAACCTGGGGTTTTTAACCTAAGTCACTCCAATGGAATCGCTAAAACATAGAGCATAGTCTGATGAAAAAAGATGCCAAAGTTTATGAAAACAAAATTTTATCGTCAAAATGGTTATGTTTTTTATGAAGAGGATAGACTAAATTTTTTAAATTATTTTAAAAAATTTTCCATCTTTTAGAATATTCTAAATTTTGATTTAAAAAACCTTGTTTCTCTTTGTCGCAACAAGGGGTAGTAAATAACATAGATAATTTTTAGCACGTTTTTTGTATTTACACACATTAATTTGGAAAATCTTGCAAAAATAAAAATAATTGTCAGATGTTAATGAAACTTTCAGAAACTATTCACAGATGATCGAAATTATTATAAATATGTTTTTTTTTTTATTAAAGTCATGGCAGAAATATTTTTTTTTTATATTTATTAACACCCCCATAACTAATTTTATGAAAAACTCTAGAAATTTTTTTAGAAATAAAACAAATATATTATTTAGTTTAAAATGCTTTTATTTGTTTTAATTTGTTTTTTTATGAATATGGACAATATTTTCTGAAAGCAAAAATTTTTCAATGAAAATTGAATTTTTAATACAATTATTTCTTATTTCTTTAATTTTAAAAAGATTTTTTAAAAATATTTAAATTGAATTTTAAAAAATATTTTAACATTAGTTAAAAGCAACATCAACCTTTCAAAATGTCCGTGTGAGATTGTCATTGTCTAGCGCTTTGAAAATTGTATAATTTGGACCAATCAGATTAGCCATGGTAATTAAGAAATGTAATTTTTGTGTTTATAGTCGGACAGTAATTATCAAGTACGGAAGACCAACCAGAATACAATTTAGTTGCATTATTTGAGTTCAGCATTGTTCTCCGCTGTTAAGCCCTTTACTTTTAAGTGCGAAACACGTATGGAGAAGTTAATTTGAGTTTTCAATTTCAACTGAGAAGGGTACCTACAAGTAACAGTATCATCTTATGAAATTTAACTACTGCTAAACTTTAATTCATATGATCTTATTTTTATATTAATCTCAGTTATGACATTTTTCCATAAATGAAATATCAAAATTAATAATAAAATGAATGGAAATACAAATAACACAGTAAAATGTAATAAATGTACATAAAATTATAGTATTTTATGTACACTTCTGATAAAATTTCATAAGAAAGGTACCTAAATTAATTAGATACCTTTTTCTTATGAAATTTAATCTCACTATTAACAGTCTTTTTTTAATTTCTTTATATTTTCCATAAAGCATCGTAAACGTAAAAATAAAAAAGCTAAGTACAAAAAAAATTAAAAAAAATAAAAAATTAGAGCGCTGAAAGTTTTCCTTAAAAGTAACAAGGTAAATAATTTGTTCACTTAAATAATTTCACTTCCTTCCATCCGTAGAAAAGAATTCTCCTCCCGTAAGTTATCTAAACGTCATGAATGTGCCTTTCGTCAATCGCGTCAAGCGATGTGAAAGGTTATGACCTGCTTTGTTTTATTTTCAAATTACATTTTTTCGCGCAGAAGCTAAGTTAAGCTTGGTTTAAAATATTTTTAAATAAACAGGATAATTTCTGTTTTTATTAAAATCAGTTTTGAAAAAAATGATAATTGATTTTTAAAAAGAATATCAAAGTAAGATTTTAATCTTTTTATCAAATCGAAAAAAAAATGATTGAAAATGATTGATTATCTGTCCTTTTTTTTGACCAAAAAAAAAAAAAAATATTTTTAACGAAAATTTCAGGCGTGCTAGGAACGATTAAGAAATGTAAAAAAAATACCCCCAAAATACTTTGATCTTTCCTCTTTAATAATAATATGAACATTAGACGATAAAATTTTGTTTTCGCCAAGTTCGCCGCTTTTTTCATCATGCTATGCTCTTTTTGTTTACATTTTCGTGGGTGAGTTGTCCCCCTTTCATTCTCGCGATGTGTCTTAATCGTGTTTTCAAATTGATTTTATTAAAAAACAACTGTGTTTTTCCCATTTTCGGCCCTGTTAGAACCACCACAAGGTAATTTTATGTAGTCCTGTGAAGTTTTGTTGAAATCGGCTAAAAAATGTAGGAAATTCGATCCAACATATAAACGTTACAGACACACACACACACACAATCTGCGTTTTATAATAAGTAAGATTACTGAACAATGAGCATCTTTTTGTCTGTTTTCTCTTAATCTCTGATGAAGCTTTAATAAAAATGAAACATTTCCTATTTGTTCTTCATTATATATATATATATATATATATATATATATAAATTGGGATCAAATATGGTTTAAAATCTAACAGAATGATAGAATAAGGAACAAATAGGAAATATTTATAAGTTTTCCATTTATTTAAGCTTAATCAGAAATTTTTAGAGATGAGTTGTCTGGGAGGATGTTCTGGTACATTTTGAGTTCTGTTTTCTTTGTTTTTAATTGGTTAGATTTCATGTGTGTGTGTGTGTGTGCATGTATCTGGATTCTAGTGGCCATTTTGCACTGTCTGGTAGCTTTTGTGTGCTTTAATTCCTGAAGATGGTAGTGGAAGGAAAATGGGAAAGGTGTGCCTGTATGGGCATGTATCAAATTTCTAATTGGTTTTGTAGTTGTTGGTACATGTGTTTTACTGTTGTTTAGATGTACGTTATTGATGTTGGAGCGGGTAGAGTGGAGAGCAAAATGTTTTAGTGAACTCAGCAGTTTTCAGTCTGTTAGTCTGAATCGTCTTCAAGAAGCAAGAGCAAGATCTAAAAGGTCAGCCAATCTAACAGTGACCTCATCCCACAATCCTCACTCTTGCTCCATATGTGGCCTCCTTTGCAAATCACTATCGGGACTTAAGTGCCACTTAAGATTATCGCACAAAATTCATAACTGAATCAATTGGTTAAATTGTCAGAGCCTCATACGTCAAAACCAATAGGAAAGAGTCCATTATTAATGTTGAGTCAAAAAATTTGTATCAGGAAATTTTGTGTCTTGGTTTAATTCTATTATAGATATTATTATAATTATATATGACTTTTGAGTGCATTGGGAGATATTTGGTGTTGGAGTTAAAGACTTAGGTTACATCATCTGCAGGAATTTGGTTTTTACATTCTTTAAGTATGAGTTTTATGAAAGTTGGTGATATGAAAAAGTGTGTCTGGTGTGGAAGGATAGTAATTAATAATCCTAAATATTTTCTTTGTAATGAAACACATTCTTTTTTTATTAGGCTGTTATTTTTAAAATCAAAGTTATGGCTTGTTTTCTTTCTGTCTGTTACGAGAGAGTTCAGAACATTAATAATGATAATAATACTGTCTGACTAATGTGGGTTATAGTTCAGGCACTTTTCAAAGGTGTTTCATGCCAGGAG